GGACGTCCTCCTGAAATGCAGAACTGTTGAACTTGGACAAAAATCATACCAAAGTAAACTCCACGAGCACAAAGCAGTGAGTCTGACTCTGACTGTGACACAGCAGACAGAGGAATATACTCCAGAAATATTATAGTTTTAGTCATTACTCTGTCATGAAGGGAAAGATGTACAGAGTTGTTTTAGTGTTTTTCTTCCACAAGTGATGCAGCAGAGGCACCTGTCTGTGTGAGTGTCGTGTATGTTATCTGTATGTTTATATTAAAGGGCCCATCTCATGCAAAATAAACTTTTCAGAGTTTTCTACCTTCTAAGAGTGATGTGTGGGCCTTGTATATGTCGGCCAAGTGTTTTTTTTAGATCGATTCGGCATTTTTTTTAAACAAATTGCAGTGTATTTCTGCACAATGAACTAAAGCTGCTACAACAATGATGCGGCAGATTCACCGATGATGAGTTTGACGTAGCAGAAAGCGCTTCACCCCCGCTCCCCTCTCCTGTTCCACCGCCTCCGCCCGCATCGACGACAAATCCCACATGAACACCTCAACAAAAGCGACAGCATAAGCTCATTGTTCTACACTGCACTGAACACGATATAATAAGTTTATCTACTAGATACTACTAGGTTTGAGGATTTACAAGTCCATCCAAGTCCAGGTCAGGTCCAGAGGTGTGGAAGCTCCATTATGGCCATGAATTGTTCTGTTAATTAGACCCCACACCCTGCACAGGTCAATAGGCCCAACTAACTAACAGAAGCTGTAAACAAGTGTGTGTGTGAGTTTCAGAGTAGTTTCAGTGTAGTTAGCTCCTCCCTGCAGATATAAGGAAGTGTCCACCAGCGTCTGACCAGAACTGAAGAAGCAGCTTGGATGATCTGCGAAACGTCTTCAACCAAACTAACTTTTGTCCAGTCGAAAAACTGAATTTTCTCCTCGACATGGATTCTACCTGAACGACTGAGGGATTCTTCACACATTTATCTACTAGTGTTTATTAATACTTGACCAATCAGTAATGTTCAGCTGATGTGGACGCGGTGCTTGAGCTTCGTGCTCCTCAAAGTCCTCGTCCGATTCCGGGTCCAGCACATGCGACTGAACGCGCTGTATCTCCATGATGAATAAAAGTTTATTCCTGCCTCTATCAGGGTGCACGTCTGTCTCCCCCTCCCTCCCTGAGATGGCGGAGGAAGGGCGGCTCACTCAGAGCCTATGTCACGTTTGGAGGGCGGAGCCTGTGCTTTCTCAGGACGGGCGGGGGGAGGAGCAATAGTCGGACTTTCATAGTTCCTGGTCTGTGACTGTCTCCAAGAAATCAGCAAGATTTCAGAACTGCTGTATAATGGATGTTATAAAACCCAAATTGTGCTTGTTTATGTGCAGAAGATACAATGTGAAAAGAGTTATTTTGCATGAGATGGGCCCTTTATGTCGTATATTGATCTGGGGTCTGGTCAAGCAGTAACGGAGGGAAACAGGGGCAGATTTTTGACATTCAAATAGCTCTTATTCAGAAACTAGAGGGACTATTGAAATAAGTAAAGTGTCAGAATATTCTTTCAAGTTGTTGAAAAAAATTTTAAAACTCATGTCGGTAACGGAGGGAATGAAATATGCAGCACTTTTAGGGCAATAAATCCAAACAGTGATAACTCTTGGTTCTCACTTACATATCCTTAACAAACTGGTTTGAATATTTGCTTCATATAGTTTTCTACCATATGGTACAAGATTAGATTGAAAAACCTCTTACTTTTTGACTAATGAGATTTTTTATTAAGAAAGATCATGGTAACGGAGGGAAAAGTAACGGAGGGAAAATTGTTCAAACAAGTAGAAGGTGCAGGATTTTACATCATTTGTCAACTTTTTTCTTCTGAATACTTTAATATTACTTCAAAATGAAAGGAAACTATTTCTATAAAATATGTCAGTCCTTCCAAGCAAATTTTTATCATTTTAAATAATATATATATATTTTTTAATCGTGTACCTTCATCAACAGTTCAAAAATGGAATAACACAAGATATGATGAAATACATCCATTTATTTACATGATTTTTGGGTCTTTGAAATTTGGGAAATAATTTTTGTTCCATGTTTCATACATGGTCTGTTTAAAACATATGTAACTTTAGAACCAAAAATGGTACAGAAAAAAGGTCAACAGTTTCATAAACTAGAGTACATATGTATCTGTTCAATACATTTTTATATCAGATGAATTAACTTGAATTTTTGGCCTTGTTGTTTACTTCTGCTTGACCGGACCCTCTGATATTCTCAGCTGTTCTGTTATTCTCTGTTTTACTTCTCTGTTTTATTTGCTCTGTACATGCATTGTTCTTCTCCTTATTAAACTCGTTTGTGCGTTCACCTCTCAGCACACACTTGTACGTCTGTGTCAAAGTGAAACACACAAACTGGTTTATCCTGGACACTGTTCCTGCCTCTCCACAGCCCCACAAGCTCTAAAACTGCGGTGGCCCTGCAGGGACACAACAGCTCTCCTGAGGCTTTATGAGGACACACATTTACTCAGGGAATTGTGTCCGTTTAACCTTTGTTACCTGCTCCTCCATAAACCCCTCGTTCACCTTTACAACAACACGCCTTTCTGTCCACAATAGGATTTCTGTCTGTCTTTATGTGTCGTTAACGCACAAAGATCCGGCCAAAATCACATTGTACACAAACAGTTTGAGTCTGAATTATTCTTATTTCATTCAGGGAGCAGTTGTGTGATTGTGTCTGAGTGTCGCAGCTGCTGCTCAGTGTCCAACCAGGAAGCAGAAGAATAAACATGACCATAAAGGCAAACGCACAACAGAGCGCCAAACCCACATGACACACAAAAACACACACGCAGACACGGTGTTTTCAACAGGAGTTTATCTGCAGATGAATTATAAAATGAGACGCAGTGTTTGGCTGAGAGGAGCTGTTGTGTTCATGTTCATAGAAAATAATGTTGTGTTTTGGCCTTTACTGGTGACAGAGCAGCAGTGTTGGGAACTTTTAAAATGTATTCCCCTACGGATTACAGATTACATACCTCAAAATGTAGTTTGTGAGTAACGTAATCTGAATACTCTGGATTACTTGATATTGTTGTGCTTTTTAAAACGACATGAATGTACCAACCACATCCTGAAAATTCATGTTTGTTTTCTTCAAATTGGCTGAGCCCAAGTCTCCATGAACAGACTTTTGTTTTACTGTAGAGAAACAAAGACGAGGATCTGAACATAAGAAGTTTAGTCTGTCCAGTCCAGTCTCCACTTAACCAGATTAAAAATATTATTGATAGAGAAATGATTTTTATATGAGAAATTAGAAATTTATATGAGTATGTCCACCTACTGTTAGTGTCATACTGTTTAGACCGGGTTTAGTCCTGGTTTAGATCTGGTTTTAGTCCTGGTTTAGTCCTGGTTTTAGTCCTGGTTTAGACCTGGTTTAGTCCTGGTTTAGTCTTGGTTTAGTTCTGGTTTAGACCTGGTTTAGTCCTGGTTTAGTCTTGGTTTAGTTCTGGTTTAGACCTGGTTTAGTCCTGGTTTGGACCTTGTTTAGTCCTGGTTTAGACCTGGTTTAGTCCTGGTTTGGACCTGGTTTTAGTCCTAGTTTAGACCTGGTTTAGTCCTGGTTTAGACCTGGTTTAGTCCTGGTTTAGACCTGGTTTAGACCTGGTTTAGTTCTGGTTTAGTCTTGGTTTAGTCCTGATTTAGTCCTGGTTTAGTCCTGGTTTAGACCTGGTTTAGTTCTGGTTTAGACCTGGTTTTAGTTCTAGTTTAGACCTGGTTTTAGTCCTAGTTTTGTACTGGTTTAGTCCTGGTTTAGTTCTGGTTTATTCTTGATTTAGACCTGGATTATTTCTGGTTTAGACCTGGTTTAGTCCTGGTTTGGACCTGGTTTTAGTCCTAGTTTAGACTTGGTTTTAGTCCTAGTTTAGACCTGGTTTAGTCCTGGTTTAGTCCTGATTTATTCCTGGATTAGACCTGATTTAGTCCTGGTTTAGACCTGGTTTAGTTCTGGTTTAGCCTGATTTATTCCTGGATTAGACCTGATTTAGTCCTGGTTTAGACCTGGTTTAGTTCTGGTTTAGTCTTGGTTTTAGTCCTGATTTATTCCTGGTTTAGACCTGGTTTAGTCCTGGTTTTAGTCCTGGTTTTAATCCTGGTTAGTCCAAAATGTGAAAATGGGAAAACATCTCTGTGTAATCCATTTATTTCAGCAAAGTAACTGTAATCCAATTACCACTCACTGAAACAGTAACTGTAACTGAATACAGTTACTCATAATTTGTACTCTGATTACATAACTCCAGTACATGTAATCTGTTACTCCCCAACACTGCAAGGAGTTTCACCACGGCTTTTCTGTGTGGAGATTGAGTTTCTTTTGGACACTCCAGTTTCCCTCATCAACCCAAAACATGCACAATCATTTGGATCAGGTTGGACGTTTGTTTGTGTTTCTCTAACGGACGCAGAGATGCAAAATACAAACTTGGGAAATAGCGAAAATAACGGACAGACTTTATTCCTCACTTCTTGTAATTTGGTAAATCTAAAGTTCAGCGTCTCATCCGCATTATCCACAGAAATGATCCGCCACAAACATTGATCCCAGTCCACAAATCTGCACTGTTAATCCAGTTTGAGGCGTTTGTTGAAAGTAAAAAGGCCGGAGTAGTTCCTCACGTGTGTCTGTTTACATCCACGCAGCGCACGGATCGAGGCGAAGCTGCAGAATAGAGATAGTGACTCTACTTTCTGTGGACTTTATCTCCAATTTTTCTGCTTTATAATCACGTATCTGAAGTTTTACACCACATTTCACACAGAAGAACGGGTCAAGTGCAGACGACACTACATGTAGTTATCCGTCTGACTATTTCATTCTGTTTACCAGGTTTAAATAAATATTGTAACTTGTCGTAAGAGTCTTAGTAACCCGCCTGACTCCTGACCTCGTGTGTGTTGTTCTCGCAGAGTCTGAGTGACCATGAGCTCGGGCCGGCAGCTCTCCCCCCCCCACCCTCACCCGAACAACCCGCCCAAAGCCAAGGAGCTGGAGAGCATGAAGGAGTCCATCAGCGACATCATCAACCAGCTGCAGGACATCGACCCGTCCCGTCTGTCCTTCTCGCCGTTCTTGGACCTGGACACGCAGATCGTCCTGGCCCCCGTGTCCGACAGCCCCGAGTCGTCCGTGGAGGAGCTGCACTCGCCCTGCTGCTCCGTGTCCGGCTCCACGCCCTCCCTGGAGCCCCTGCCCAACAGCCAGCACAAGAGTGAGTACTGACTCTGAGGCTACGTTGACGCAAATTCAGTTTTTTCGCCTCTATGTTCCTGTATCTGATCTTTTAATGACAGTCTGAGCGACACAGATCCGATTTTTTTTCCAAATGTGACCCAGGACACTTGGATTTGTGCTCCTTTAAGGTTGTATGGAGGATTTTTTTTGTTTCAAATTGTCAAATTCCAATTATTCCAATTTCAAATGTGATGTACATATATTAAAAAAACAAAAAAAAAACACAGATTTTCTAATTTTTTATATTTTTACATAGGCAAGTTACAATATATGTCAACACATTTGTTCATACATATAAAGAAAATCTTGCAAAAACTGTGTCTCAACTGTGCTGCAACTATTTCAGGATTTTATCTTACATATCTCAGTGAAATACATCCTTCCTAAGAGTGATTCTGAATAATTTTTGAACAAATTCTGTAGCTTTTCTTCCCAAATCTGCAGTTACAGGACATGGGAAACAAGAATACATTTAAAAAATATGATTTCAGGGTAAACTTCTATGAGCAAATGAGGATTATATTGAAATACAGATTGAAAAAATGTGTGTCGCTTCAGGAAAATCAGTAAAAGGACATAAACAAGGCTCGACGTTTGGTTTCTACATTCACATTTCATTTTATTATGATATAAAAGCTGATTTTCAGAAAAATCCCAGGTCAAAGGAGTTTTTCTGCGATGTATCTGAGTGTATAAAGAGTTGAGGCTGGTCCTTTGTGTGAGTCTGTATTCAAAACAGAGCTGAGAGTTCAGGACGGGACCAGAGGAGAGTCAGATTTGCATAGAGCCCAACCCCGTCTCACTCACTGCAGAGTTCAATCTTTACTCACCTCGGAGTTCAACTGAGACGAACCAAACAATCTGCTTTTTCTACATTTTCTTTCAAAATGTCGATGAGCATGTGTGGTTAATTTAGTGAGTAGTTAGAGCAGTGCTGATGCCAAATCACTTTCTGTTTTGAAAAAGTCTTGAAGCTTTTTTGACCGTGTTAAGGTTTGCAGTGCGATAAATCCATCAGTGTGATGTCTCAGCGTCAATCTACAGAGTAAAAACTGGAGAGTTAAAATTTCAGGGTAAATATTTCAGGTTTGTTTTTAACACAAAAAGTGTTATTTTAATTATTTGAAAGTTAAATGGGGGTTTGAGTTGGAGTTCTTATTGCTAGAGTTGATGTGGTTGGAGTTAATTAAACTCAGAGTCCTGCACGGGTCCATTTTTGGAGACCTGCACCCGCCCGCACCCGCACAGTCCAGCACCACACCCGCATGTTAACTTGTGATTATATCAAAGTTAAACTCGCACCCGCCCGAACCCGTGATAAATCACACTGAAGCATCCATCAGAATATGGACTGAAAAGTTACGACTTCAAGAATTACAGTCATGAAATGAAATGAAACGGTTTCACTTTCTTCAGCACGAACACAAATTCACAGACACGACTCGACTGTCAAAACTTCACAGGTTTTATTTACTGAACAGAAGAAACGCTGATCGAGATGCCGCACTTTTGCGCCGCACACGCCACGGACTGAACCAAGACTAAACCAGGACTGATTCCAGGACTGAACCTGGAGGACTAAACCAAGACTGAACTAGGACTAAACCAGAACTGAACCAGGACTCACTGTTGGGACAGGTCCAGAGGTAGACCATCAGGTGACCGCAGGTAAAAGGGCCAGCACAGACCTCCGCGCCGCACAGACCGCAGCCGTCGCCCAATCGCATTTTGCGTACACCCTGCTCCATGGGCTCGGGGTTCTCTCTCTCTCTCTCTTAAGTCCAAGATTAGTCCTGATGTAGTCCTGGTTTAGTCCTGATTTAGACCTGTCCGTGTGTAATCACTACCCGACCGTAAAATTCCAAAGTTCCAGAACGTTAAAAGCCAGCAACTTTCAGCAACTATTTACCCGCGTGCACCCGACCTGGTGCAGGACTCTGCTCCCACCACTTCCAACTCCTGCGAGAGAAGACCAGTTTGAACCAGTTTTGTTCATAATTTCATCTTGAATTAACTTAAATAAAGTGTCAAAATAAAACCCCTCTGTGTGTTTTTTAGTTAAATCAGGAAAACTCTACAAAGTGTTATCTGTTTACTCTCAAAACATTAATTTAACTCTTGATTTCTGGATTAAACAGAAACTTTTGGTCCAGTGTCACTTAATTAATATCTCCAGAAATGTTAAATTAACTCTAGAACAGGTTGGACTCAAATAAACTCTGAGAAAATGTTAAAACTGATTCTGTGAGAGTCGATTTGAACACTTCACTTTTTGCTGTGTATAAATCAAATTATAAATGTTTTAATTTCAGTTTGTGCGTCCACAGGTCTCCCCCGAAACTACCAGCGCCCCATCAACAACAACACGCTCCCGAAGGGCCCCCCGCCAGACGAGTCGCCGTCGGCCCACCCGCACGCCCCCCCCGTCAGCCCCGCCCCCTCCTCAGAGAACTGCACCTCCACCCCCCGCCGGGACCCGCTCCCCAACGGCACCGACCCGGCCAGGTGGTCCCCGGAGCCCTCGCCGCGCCTCGACTGCTCCGCCGACGACTCCACCCGCCCCCTCATCAGCCCCTCCGCCCGCCCCCTCGTCGGCCCCGCCCCCGAGAGCGTGGAGCTGAACATGTGGACCTCCCAGGCTCCCGTAGAGGCGCGGCCGGCCCCGGGGGAGGACGCACACGCAGGTAAGAAAGACGAGATTCTCTGGTTAAAGTGCAGATGACAGGTTTTTCTGATCAGGACCTGGTGGACCTGGTGGACCTGGTGTCAGTGCTAAACATTTATCAGAGTTTTATGTAATTTCAGTGGCAGTTTGTGGAAAAAAATTCCAAAAATACAGCAAAAATTCCTTCTAAAATGCATGGACCATTTACGTGCAAAACATTTTTCTGCCCATTTAAAATCCGTGTGTCATTCGTTCATTCGTTTTTCAAAATAAAACCAAAAATAAGAAAATGAAAAAACAACAATTTTTTTCATTATTTGTCTCCAAAACCAAAATGAATTAAACATGGTTTAGTCCTCGTTCAGTTCTGGTTTAGTCCCATTTAAGTCCTGGTTTAGACCTGGTTTAGTCCCGTTTTAGTCCCATTTCAGTCCTGGTTTAGTCCTGGTTCAGTCCTGATTCAATTCTGGTTTAGTCCTAGTTTAGTCTTGGTTTAGTTCTGCTTTAGTCCTGGTTCAGTTGTGGTTTAGTCCTGGTTTAGACCTGGTTTAGTCCTAGTTTAGTCCTGGTTTAGTTCTGCTTTAGTCCTGGTTTAGTCCTGGTTTAGACCTGGTTTAGTCCTGGTTTAGTCCTGGTTCAGTCTGTTATCCATTTTTTCCATTATTCCTTTAAACACAAAATTGTCTAGAGGAGAACTCATCAAGTAAAACGATCTTGCTGCACGAAGAGATAATTTTAATACTTTTAAGTCGTTTTCTGATAGATTTAAGTGTTTTTATTTTACATTTTGGCCAAGCTTCTTGCAGTGTGATGTTTTTTTCTCATCACAAACAGACCTGGAGTTGTGTTTTGTTTCATTCACACACATTTAAAACCCAAACTCTTAAACACTTTATAATAACTCCACCTTACTTAGCCTTAATAAAGCTTGAACAAAGACTTAATTAATAATGAACAAAGATTTAATTAATAATGATTCATGCTTAGTAAATGCTTAATAAAGCGTAATTTGTCTTCACTTTAGAAAAACTCTCAAAAAGACTTAACTAACAGATAACAGCTGCCTGAATTATCATTGCATTGCATTATTAGTAAATCATTCTCTCATAGTTTACTAATGATTAATAAATGCTCAAATGGTTAGTTCATGAGTAATTAAGTATGAAATAATTATGAGTAACTATTTACAGCACAGGCAAATTAAGTGCAAGTGCTAATTAAGGTAGTAATTAAATAGTTACTAAGCGTGAATCATTATTAATTAAGTCTTTGTTCATTATTAATTAAGTCTTTGTTCATGCTTTATTAAGGCTAAATAAGGTGGAGTTATTATAAAGTGTTACCCACAAACTTTGCACATTTAGGCTGAGTTTTTCTCTCAAACTGAAAATTGAACATGTATACTGAGGAATAACTGTACTGGTGATATTTGTGAGCATGTTTGTGGTGTCGTGTGCAGGCGGCGGCGGCGGCGGTGGGCGTGGCTGCTGTTGGCGGTGCGCGTGCTGTCGTCGAGGTCGTGTCCCGGCTCTCCTCTCGGTCCTGGGCTCCGTGCTCTGCTCCGTGGGCGTCATGTACGCGCTCTACTTCCACGTCCCGCTCAAGCCGCCGCGCTTCTCCGACGTCACCGGCCGAATGGTGTTCACCCTCTGCTGCTGCGCCGTCGCCTCTGTGCCCATCCTGCTGGGTAAAACACACAAACACACAAACACACAAAAACAAAAACACAAAAAACACAAACACAAACAAAAACACAAAAACACAAAATAAAAACAAAAACACAAAAACAAAAACACAAAAATGCAAAAACAAACACAAAACACACAAAACACAAACACAAACACAAAACACTAAAAACAAAACGCAAAAACACAAAACACACAAAACACAAACACAAAAACGCAAAACACAAAAAAAAAAACACAAACAAAAAACAAAAATAAAAAAACACAAAACACAAACAAAAAACGCAAAAACACTAAAATAAAAAAAACGCAAAAACACAAACACAAAAACACAAAACACAAAAACGCAAAAACACAAAAAAAACACAAAAACACAAACACAAAAACACAAACACAAAAACGCAAAAACACAAACACAAAAACACAAACACAAAAACACAACACACAAAAACACAAAAACACAAAAACACAAACACAAAAAAACAAAAAACACAAAAACAAACACAAAACACAAACACAAAAAAAAACACAAAAACACAAACACAAAAACACAAAAACACAAAAACAAAAAACACACAAAAACACAAACACAAAAACACAAACACAAAAAACACAAACACAAAAACACAAACACAAAAACACAAAAACACAAACACAAAAACACAAACACAAAAACACAAACACAAAAACACAAAAAAAACAAAACACAAAAATACAAACACAAAACACAAACACAAAAAAACAAAACAAAAACACAAAAAACACAAACACAAAAACAAAAAAAACAAAACACAAAAACACAAAACACAAACACAAAAACACAAACACAAAAACACAAAAAAAACACAAAAACACAAAAACACACAAAAACACAAACAAAAACACAAACAAAACACAAAAAAAAAACATTAAAAAAAATACAAAAACACAAAGACACAAAAACAAAAACACAAACACACATAACCACACAAAAACACATAAACACAAAAACACAGGCCTGTTTTTTCTTGTTTTTTTGTTTCCATCTTTTCTGGTCAGTGGTGAGTTTAAAGTGTCTGTACCTGATTCAAATCATGAGTCAGAACATAAAGGTTTAAAGGACACAGTTAAACTTCGAGCTGCTGTGTAACAAACAGGAAGTGAGTCTGGACAAAAGGTCAGTCTGGACCTACCAGACAAACGCTTGAACTTTATGTAATTTAAGTTTAATTCATCAGTTTCATTCTGAGGTAAACCTGGTTTAGTCCAGGAGGTTTTTCAATAAATGGAAGCTAAAGTCTGGATTATTTGACCTGACCAGAGGTGACCTGAGATGCCACAGTCACAAACACCTGGACACAAACCAGGTCAGATGAACTATCAAGATTATTTTAGCTCCGTCTCCAAAAACATCTAAAGAAACAGTTTAGTCCAAAGGTTCAGCCTGTGCATCACACACCAGTGTCAGACACACACCTGTCTCTGTCTGATACTTTTACAGTCCATACACTCCTGCACACAGGACACACGTGTGCATGGACGCTGCATCATCAAAAAGACCCAAACCGTATGAAAGCAGATGGACATTATTTCATTCAAATGATGATACATGTAAAAATAAGGATACTGAAGTGCTGCACTGGATCAAAACTTACAGTTGCTCATCAGACCAAAGGGCTTGAGTTCTTGTAGAACAGAAAAAAGGATGGCAGAGGCTCTCTGATTTGTGGTGTATTTATTAATTCTCACACAATCTGATCTGCACATGTGTCTGTTGTGAGAGGCAGAGCAGCTTTTCCACACACACAGACGCTGGTTTGGACTCTGAGGATGACTGTGGGTTCTGTCTGTTCGCTCCTTCATCACGTCTGTGTCTCTCTCTTCATTCCCTCGTCTCTCGCTCCCTGTCAAACTGCAAACAGCTCTGCGTGGATTTTATCGGTTCTTCTACATGTGAAGAGTTACAGCTTCACTTTTAAACACAGTCGAACTTAAACTCTGCACGTACGACCGCGCATCGGGAAGAGGTCAGACAACTTCATTCCTTGGGCGTATTAACCAGACTCTGGAGTCTGCAGCCGCCTCTGTCCACGGAGCGAACAGGAGAGGAGGAGGAGTTGTGTCTGTCCTCTCGCTCTTCACTTCAGAATGACTGGAAAAGTTCCGTGGCTCAGATCAAACTCTGCGGGTGTGCGCTGTGGCGCCTCTCTCGTTTAGTCAGATCATTTTTAAAAAATCACATTTTTGGCCCATTTTCTGTGATGTCTCTGCTCCATTGATCTGGTCTCCTCATCTGGTCACTGTGAACACATAAAGCACAGTTAGGGCACTTTGATGGAAAACCCCCCTGGTTTAGTCCCGTTTTAGTCCCGTTTCAGTCCTGGTTTAGACCTGGTTTAGTCCTGGTTTAGTCCCGTTTTAGTCCCGTTTCAGTCCTGGTTTAGACCAGGTTTAGACCTGGTTTAGTCCTGGTTCAGTCCTGATTTAGTCCTGGTTCAGTCCTAATTCAATTCTGGTTTAGTCCTGGTTCAGTCCTGGTTTAGACCTGGTTTAGTCCTAGTTTAGTCTTGGTTTAGTTCTGCTTTAGTCCTGGTTTAGACCTGGTTTAGTCCTAGTTTAGTCTTGGTTTAGTTCTGCTTTAGTCCTGGTTTAGTCCTGGTTTAGTCCTGGTTCAGTCGTGGTTTAGTGCTGGTTTAGTCCTGGTTCAGTCCTGTTTTAGTCCTGGTTTAGACCTGGTTTAGACCTGTTTTAGACCTGGTTTAGTCCTGGTTTAGTCTTGGTTTAGTCCTGGTTCAGTCCTGTTTTAGTCCTGGTTTAGACCTGGTTTAGACCTGTTTTAGACCTGGTTTAGTCCTGGTTTAGTCTTGGTTTAGTCCTGGTTTAGACCTGTTTTAGTCCTGGTTTAGACCTGGTTTAGACCTGGTTTAGACCTGTTTTAGTCCTGGTTTAGTCCTGGTTCAGTCTGTTATCCATTTTTTCCATTATTCCTTTAAACACTACATTGTCTAGAGGAGAACTCATCAAGTAAAACGATCTTGCTGCGCGAAGAGATAATTTTAATACTTTTAAGTCGTTTTCTGATAGATTTAAATGTTTAGATCTTAAATTTTGGCCAAGCTTTTTTGCAGTGTGATGTTTTTTCCTCATCACAAACAGACCTGGAGTCGAGTTTTGTTTCATTCACACATGTTTAACGCACAAACTCTGCAGATTTAGGCTGAGTTCTTCTCTCAAACTGAAAATTGAACGTGTACACTGAGGAATAACTGTGTACTGGTGATATTTGTGAGCATGTTTCAGATTCAACTCAGGATTTCAGGATAAGCCTGGATTTGTTAGGCCACTTTGATGGAAAACCCCCCTGGTCTAATCCTGGCTTAATTTTGGGTTTAGTCTCGCTTAAAACTTTTCTGCCGGAGAGTCCATCGAATGCTTTTCTCCGTGATGCTATGGCTTTGTCTGGAATGTTTCGCAGTACGGCATTAAACCTTTCTATCTTCACGGAGATCAAACCAGACAAAGTTACAGGTCAGATCTGTGGAGAGGCACTTGAGGAGGAAGGAAGCGATGACCAATGGATAAACGACCTTATGAGTTTTTTACACATTGAGAAGATGAGATTTACACTTGCAGGTTCGACCACAAAATTTGAAAAAACATGGCAGCAATTTTTGAAATACATGGACACATATAAAATGGACTGTGGATTTATCTGTCTTTGTATTATCTGCTGTTTTTTAATTTGTTATTATTATTATAATATAAAGTGTTTTATTTTATTTTATTTTATTTTTACTTTATTATTACTATTACTATTGCTATTATTATTAATCAATTTTATTTTAATTTAATTTATTCATTTATTTATTTATTTTTTCTATGTTTTGTTTTGTTTTTTCTTGGGGTTATTTTTTGGAAAAAATTGCATAAATATGATGTTTGATATACATCCTCTGTAATGTGCTATCGAAATTTATAAATAAAATTGTAAAAAAAAAAAAAGATCTGTGGAGAGGCGACGCCGCTCACAGTCAGAATGTCAGTTTTTCTAGGTATTTTTATGTGATAAAACCACCTGTAATTTAATAAATGTAAAGTCGAGCTGTTTAATGTCACACTGTGGAACATTCCAGGCAGAGCAACGACGTATCCATAGAAACAAGCAGATGACGGACCCGCAACCGGAAAGTTACACAGTGCATCTTTAATTAAGCCAGAGTTTAGTCTCAGTTTGCGAACATGAAGTCAAGAGAAAAGTTACTCTGAGTCGCTTGTTTATTGTGACGTTGGTTGATCTTTATCCTCCCACATTCCCAGTGCGTTCCTGGCGGGTGCGCGGGGCGGGTGCGCGGGCGGGTGCGCGGGCGGCGTGTGCGCGGGGCCCGGTGACAGCTCCGGAGGGCTCAGGGGCCGCTCCTCTGCTTCTGTCTGGGAATGCGGCGCTGGGCCCTCTCATTTTCTCCGCCGCCTCCTGGGCCTGAGCCTGGGCCCGGAGCAGAACTGTTCTCCCGGAGCGTACAGACGTCTCCTGCCCAGTCTGAAATGGAAACAGTCTGCTCCTGTCTGCCCCCGTCTGCCCCCGTCTGCCCCCGTCTGCCCCCCGTCTCCAAGCACTGGTCTGATGTTGAGACCTGGAATCCTGTCTCCGTGTGGGACCTCACTGAGTATTTTTAAAGACGACTGGTGGATAGAGACGTGGACGTCCGACAAAAAATGCGACCGCGTGCTGAGTCCAGAGACAAAAACTGTGCAAAAGAAGAAATAAATCCACACTGTAGTTCTCTGAAGCTCCCAAATTTGTATTTCAGTGACACAATGTGAAGTTTGTCTGAAGAAGGACTTGACCTAAAACACATCGGATTAAGATTTGGGACTCGACTTGGACTTGGAGGTCAATGAGTTGGGAATTGAGAAGACTTGATGCTTTTCCTAAAAAATGTTTGAAATGTTAAAGTATATACAGAACAAAATACAGTAATATAAAGTACAATAGAGTAAAACAGAGGGGACTACAAAAAACATGATCCTTCAGTTTCAGTGCAGACTTCATGACAAAATAACTGTGAATTACTTTTAAATCTAAATTCTTTCTCAAAAGCTCTAGAAAATGGGTTGAACCTGACATCGCCTGCCACACTTTTTATTTGTGTTTTCTTTGTTAACTGTGACCCTGAGGACCAATAATTGGAGGGTCTGCTCTTCCGGAAATATCGCGAAAAAAAATTGTGGCCGTTTTAGTGTCGGTGACCTTCATTTTGTGATAGAAAATTTTGAAAAATGAAAAATTTCCTCAAATCCTCAGTGGATTGGGTAAGCTGCCTACAAATACATTCCAGATGCAAAGAAAACATGTGGTGACAACATTCATAAAACACATTTCTACATGATTTTGGCTCAATTTAATGCCAGAAAATAAGGCATTTTTTCACTTTTTTCCAGTATTTTCATCTTTACTTCATTGGCAATCAACTATTCCCCCAAGTTTTGACATCAGCCAATATGCCATTCTTTTCTTCAAACAGTATAGTCATTCCACAGAAAAAAAAACAAAAAAATCCAACCAAAATCAATGGATCTGTGATGATTTCTTTACCATCAACAGGCCCAGAACCTCAGTAGAATGTGATTCTCCTCTCAACGTTCCATAAGACACACTGGATATTTAACATGGCTGTTAATGTCCACATTATTAAACATCATGGCCTAGGCATCTTTTAAATAATAATAATAATAATAATAATAATAATAATAATAATAATAATAATAATAATAATAATAATAATAGCCGCAAGTGGCAATAATCGGCCCTCGCTCGAGCCTATGCCACGCCGCACCCTGGCCATGTTGAGCTCTGCACATGCCGTGCCCCACGAATGCATCTTCCTCATTGATCTAACTTCTAAATTAACACTAACCCCTAAACCTACGTGCACTCCTAACTAGGGATGGGCATTCAATGAAATTTTCTTAATCGATCGTCGGAAGAATTAACAATCGATTATCGATTAATCATTAACGTTATTATATTAAAATGATCATCATTATTATTACTATCTGCACTACTAATCTGCATAAATAAATTCAACTTTACGACATATAAACCGTAACGACTCTAGAGCCACATCAGCTGTTTGACATTATAATGTGTTTAATTCAGTTTTGTGCAACTCTCACAGAAACAAAACTTAAAACTGCATCACTAATTTGCATAAACTCAGCAAAGATAAAACTACAGCTCTTGTGTCGCTGATGCATTAAATTTCTGTCTTGGATTAAAAGACATGACTCAGTGGAATACAGGTTAGTGTGACCAGATTAAGAAGATTCAGGATTATTTAGCTGTATTGTCCTTTCACCTCTGATGAAAACACTTGTAAAACAGTTGTGACCTGACCTGGTGCTGATCTCTTCTTCTCTTCTCTCTTCTCTTTTCTCTTCCCGTCGCAGCCATGATGGTGGGGGCTCTGTGTCAGTTCTGCAGCGGTTCTCTCGACCTCCACGACCCTTCGTCCACGCGTCGCTCCCTGCAGCAGATCTTCATCAGCTCGTCCCTGGAGCTGCTGCTGCTCTACGGCCTCAACATGCTCATCCTGTGCGCCCTGCTGCCCCACGAGCACCTCATGATGGTGCCCGTCATGGCCGTCATGTTCGTGCTGGGACGGTGAGACTTACACGCACACGCACGCACACACACACACGTACACACACACACACACGCACACACACACACACACACAGCTAACTGGAGGCACTGCTCTATCTGAAGAGACATTGAGTGCGTCTACATGCACATCAATAACTCGGTTATGATCGAGTTTTTTGAGTATCCCGGTTTCTTGATGGTGCATGTAAACACAGTAACCCGGTTTCAGTAACCCGGTTTCAGTAACCCGGTTATTAGAAACCGGGTTACTGTAGCTGGTTTATTCCGATAGTAACCGGGTTACTTGTGGCATGTATACGCAGTACCCCGGTTACTGCAACATAAACTTGAGTGCGCATGCATCCAAAAGACACTTTCCAGCCTTTCACCACAACAATAGCGACATAAATAAATTGACCAACATAAATAAAGTGACCAAACGAGTGAAATGACTGTAAAATTAAGAGCTGCGCTAAACCTGCACATGTACAATCTGCACTCGTGTGACAGTGAAAAGCTAAAACATGAACTATCTCCTGTACAACACACGCACAGAAACAGACTCACCATCATCAGCACCTCTTCTGTCACAAAAAGAACACACATAATCCACTGAGTCGTGTCATTTAGTCCAAAAAAAAAAGCTGAACCACATCAGCGGCGCAAGGAGCAAGCTGTTTTTATCACCGCTAACAGTTTATGCTAATGAGTCATGTGGTTTTAAGTTTCGTTTCTGTAAAACATAAACAAATGTGATCAGAGCTGAATTATCTGATCAAACGGGCTGATGTGGCTCTACAGTGGTTCTGGTTTATATGTTGTAAAGTTGAGTTTATTTATGCAGAAGATTTTAATGAAGAATCTGTTTGGTTTGATGTGTGCAGTGGATTGTGGGAGATCTCGTAGCTCCTTAGCTTCTTGTGCTAAAGGAGCTCACGGTTTGTATTTTTCCTGGTTTATGAAATTGATTTAAGTTAATTTTTGCGCTTGTGCATTTGTAAGATTATGTCAAGAAACCGGGACACTCTATCTGGTCCCAGACCTGGATCAGTCCTGGTTCAGTCCGACATCGCAGTCACAGAAGTCACGTAAACGGGAAACGGTCGTTATCTGTTTTTTCCATTCTTCATTTAAACACAAAATCGAAAACTGAAAAAATGAATCATTATCTGTTTCCGGAGACAAATAATGAAGAAAATAGTTGTTTTTTCTTTTTCTTATTTTTGGTTTTATATTGAAAAACTAATGAACGAATGACACACGAATTCTTCTCTCTCGTTTAGTCAAATCAGACCTGAATTCTCTTTGTTCAGACTCAGGTTTATTTCTGTCATGGAACGACTAGAGGTTTAAACTGGAGATGGAGGTAGATTCAGGTCAGGATTTTATTTTATGATAAGCCTGGACTTGTTTAGCGACTTCGAGGAAATAACCCCCCGAGTATTGAATGTTTTTGAGAGAATGATCCCGGTGATCGATGGTGATGATGAAGGATCAGCTCTTTAAACTTTTCATGTTAATCTTCCGGCTTAAAGTCCTTTCAGCTGACAACAATTGCATGTTTGCGGTTGAATAATGGCTCCACTTTCTGAAGCGGAGGTGAAAAAGATGATTTCTGTTTAGTTTATTTAAACCGACAGAAGACGCTGAACTTTGTGACGGTCAGTGTTGTGCATGAACGAGTTCAAAAGAACGCGTTCATTTTTCAGTGAACTTTGAACTGAACGCAACACTTTTGTAAATCAAGAACTTGAACGTGAATTTGTTCAAATTATGTGTGATGAACGACGTACGTCACTGTTGGGGTTCAGTTAAACGTCGGAATTTGTTTTCACCTGACGAGTGTCGATCTGCTCGCACTTCACCTCGCGAAACCACAGCCGCGTGTCAACGCGAAGGCGACTCCACCGGCAGCTTTAGGAACGTACGGCTCTTGTGTCTCTCAATGGGAAAGTCAATCAAACTTGACTGGGCGCGTTTAGCTGCTTGTATTTACCTTCTGTACAGACTGAACCACGGCAAACGCAAGGATTTCAAAAGTAAATTTCAAAGCATTAATGAACAGTGTATGTGGATCTGGGCTCTTTCACATGATACAGAACTGCCCAGGGAGACAATGTGCTGATGGTAAATGCACAAACACAACAACAGATACATGCTCTCTGTGGATTTTGACGGGGAGACGCGCCTACGCTCGTGTAGAGCGTCAAAAAATAGGATGGATCCTATTTTCTGAAATCTACACGCACAGGACGTGCTGCTCCGCGCGTGTATTATTTTACTTGGTACAAATGTCAGTAACGCGCGTCACAATGCTTTTTTAACCTGGATTGAAATGGTGGGTTTTTCGTTTTTCTTCATACAAATTTGCTAAAATCACCGCGATATCAGCAGCGGTGAAACACGGGAGGTTCGCCCGCGTAAACCGTGATCCTGAGCCAAAGGACCGACGCAGAAGCCCACGCTCCACCGAGATAAACGCAGCTGACGCACGACCGCACTCGGGTTCTCTCAGGGGCGGTCCTAGATTCCAAGTTCTAGTCCAGGATTAGTCTTGGTTTAGTCCTGGTTTAGTCCTGGTTCAGTTCTGGTGTAGACCTGGTTTAGTCCTGGTTCAGTTCTGGTTTAGTCCTGGTTCAGTTCTGGTTTAGACCTGGTTCAGTCCTGGTTTAGTCCTGGTTTAGACCTGGTTCAGTTCTAGTTTAGTCCTGGTTCAGTTCTGGTTTAGACCTGTTTTAGTCCTGGTTTAGACCTGGTTTAGACCTGGTTCAGTCCTGGTTCAGTTCTGGTTTAGACCTGGTTTAGTCCTGGTTTAGACCTGGTTTAGACCTGGTTCAGTCCTGGTTCAGCTCTGGTTTAGTCCTGGTTCAGACCTGGTTTAGTCCTGGTTTGGACCTGGTTCAGTTCTGGTTCAGTTCTGGTTTAGTCCTGGTTTAGTCCTGGTTTAGACCTGGTTCAGTTCTGGTTTAGTCCTGGTTTAGTCCTGGTTCAGCTCTGGTTTAGTCCTGGCTCAGTTCTGGTATAGACCTGGTTTAGTCCTGGTTTAGACCTGGTTTAGTCCTGGTTTAGTCCATATACGGCACAAAAGTTCAGCATCTTAACAGTTCTTTTGGTGAGAGTAAATTAAAAGTGCTGCAATAGTCGTGTCATGTTTTACATTTTAAATACAGTAATATTGTAATGTAACTAATGACTTTGAAATGACAGTAACAAGTCATAAATAAAACATCACAGTTTTAAAGTCACTTGTCCAACAGTGGATCTTGTAAAGTTGTTGTAAACTAGAAGTCAGTTTGAAAAATAAATGCAGCCTTTCATTTACAGATCTCATCTAAATATAAAATAAACTGAACTTTGAACTAGTTCATGAAAAGTGTGAACTGGAACAACACTGGTGACGGTTTTAGTTTCATGTGGATCGGCCCAGAATCTGTGTCTCGTTCGTTCATTCGTTTTTCAATATAAAACCAAAAATAAGAAAATGAAAAAACAACTATTTTCTTCATTATTTGTCGCCAAAACCAAAATGAAAAAAATTGATAATGATTCGTTTTTTTCAGTTTTTGATTTTGTGTTTAAATAAAAAATGGAAAAAAACAGATAGCGGATGTTTCCCTTTTACGTGACTTAAACTGCGATGTCGGACTTTTGCTCTGCATACGGACTGAACCAGGACTAAACAGTTTTCACTCCCGGTCTCAGTCCCGGTCTGGTCTCAGTCTAGTCCCGGTGTGGTCCTGGTCTGGTCCCAGTCTCAATCATGGCCTGGTCCTGGTCTAGTCCTGGCCTCAGTCCTGGTTTCCATCCCTGTCTGGTCCCAGTCTCAGTCCTGGTCCTGTTCCCGGTCTCAGTCCCGGTCTGGTCCCGGTCTGGTCCCGGTCTCAGTTCCGGTCTCAGTCCTGGTCTGGTCCCAGTCTGGTCCCGGGCTCAGTCCCGGTCTGTCTGGTCCCAGTCTGGTCCCGGGCTCAGTCCCGGTCTGATCCTGGTCTCAGTCCTGGTTCCTGTCAGTCTGGTCCAGTCCTGGTCTGGTCCGGTCTGGTCTGGTCTGGTCCCGTCTGTCCTGGTCTCAGTCCTGGTCTCCCAGGTCTGGTCGGTCCCGGTCTGGTCTTGGTCTGGTCCCAGTCTCAATCACGGCCTGGTCCTGGTCTAGTCCCGGCTTCAGTCCTGGTTTCAGTCCCTGTCTAAGTCCTGGTCTGGTCCCGGTCTGGTTTTGGTCTGGTTGGACCTGGTTCAGTCCTGTTTTTTCCTGGCTCAGTCCTGGTTTAGTCCTGGTTCAGTCCTGGTTCAGTCCAGTGGTTTAGTCCTGGTTCAGTCCTGGTCCTGTTAGTTGGTTCAGTTGGTTCTGGTTCAGTCCTGGTTTAGTCCTGGTTCAATCCTGCATCGCAGTTTAAGTCACGTAAACAGGAAACGTCAGTTTTTTTTTCCATTTTTCATTTAAACACAAAATCGAAAACTGAAAAAACAAATCTTTATTATTTTTACATTTTAGTTTTGGAGACAAATAATGAAGAAAATAGTTTTTTTTTTTTTCCGTTTTCTTATTTTCGGTTTTATATTGAAAACAAATAAACGAATGACACACAAATTGCCCAGTAACGACAGAAACACGAACCATAAACCAGGTCAACAAATTTGCAGTCCGACAGTTTCACACCACACTCCACCTGAGAGTCCAGACCCTCCGGCGATGTTTTGACTACAGAGACTCGAGAATGTTGAGATGTGACGCGAACGAAACCCAAATGCAGAGAGGCCGAATATACACAGCACCTGCAGCTCTCAGGGGACGAATAAACTGGAACAAACAAAACAAAACAGGAGCTGAAACTGTGTCTGTGTCTGTGAGTGTTTGAGTGTTTGAGTGTTTGCACAGAGCAGTGATCTTAAAGGTTGTATGGAGGATTTTTTTTCAGTTTTAAATTGTCAATGAGAAGTTTAAAATACCATTACAGAGACGCAGCAGCCTTGTAATTATGATGACCAAAAAAAAAAAAAAGAAAATCGATCAACTGTGGACG